AAAATGTAATATCATAAAATCTCAAAAAGTTTTAACTTCAAGAAAATATGTCACAATATTTATTTTATCCGATATCTGATTTGTAGCGACAGACAAGTAGAGACATGTAAAAAATACTATCAAAAACTACGAATACAAAGATTTATATTTAGCATTTCACACACTAAACCCAGTTAAGCAGGACTAATGATGCTCTCTTTGTAATCAAACATGCAGCTGGGCAGTGTTTTTAGGTACCGACGATATCCACGAAACACTCAGAGAAGCATAAACATAATTTATCACGATAACGACAAATATAATAATATTGCCCTGCTCTACTTCTACACTCTTAAAAAAGATGGCTCTATATAGAACCATCAACACTCATAGATTTGCATGCTCACATGGTTCTGCGCATGGTGAACTGGTTCTTCAGATTGAGGGGAATGTGCTCTAGACAGTTCTATAAAGAACCTTTTTTTAAAAAAAGGGTTCTATAGGGCACCATAAAACATTCTTTCATTGTTACATTATCAACCGTGTTACAATAAAAGAACCCTTTTTCAAAAAGGTGCTACATAGAACCATGCAAAGAACCGTTTAAGCATGCAAATGATTCTTTAAGTTCTAAATAGTCTGTACTAAAGAACCCTTGAAGAACCATCTTTTTTTAAGAGTGTGGTGTCCAGCTAACAGTATTTCTATCTACACTATAATGTAGTAATATGTATAAGTAGAGCCCTATGATATATTGGTTGGACGATAATATTGGATGATACTGATGAAAGGTTTTGGCGATAGCATCGCCGAGATTCAAAGTTATGACCTACTGTCTCGGCTGATATTGTTCTCAAAATTTTTGGTGTCGGTCAAGAAATGTCAGTCATGTTATATCATATCGGTCAAGCCCTAATCGCCGGGGCTGACGATCCAAATTCAATACATAATGGTACCAGTGGAATTACTTCAGTACTACTGAGTACTAAATAAAATCAGTCTTTCGTTATTAGATTTCGACAGCTGAGCAGTCAGCGTCAGTGAGCCAATGAGGATGCTTGTTATTTCACCTCTCTAGTATTTTATTAAAGAGTTTTTCTTTCATTCTCCCACATTTTAACTTTATGTGTATCACTTTAATCATCACTGGTATTTAAATGTGTCATTAAAGGTGCAGTGTGTGAGATTTAAGGGGATCTATTGTCAGAAATGGAATACAGTATATATGATTGTGTTTTCATTAGTGAATAATCACCTGTAACTATGAATCGTTGTGTTTTCGTTAGTTTAGAATGACCCTTCATATCTACATAGGTAGCTCTTCTTCCAACAGAGGCCGCCATGTTGTGGCACCATGTTTCTACAGTAGCCCAGAGCAGACAAACCAAACACTGACTCTAGAGGGCGCCTTTCGTTTTTACACTGAAGTGGCAGCTTGAATTTGGTGGCGCTGTCGCTCCGGTTGGAAGAAGTATAAGGAAGAAGAATCAGTGGTCGCTGCTGGTGCTGCTGACTATTTTGTGTTGTGAGAAGTTTGAGAACCCAAATTTTGTCAAATGAAGGACCAAACTTAATATTTAGCATGAGAAAAAGCGAGTGAGGGTGAATCCTCACCGTCAAAGAAGAGAAAACAGGACGAGGCAAAACAAAATCAGGACAGACGACGGCAGAAAACCTGACGGCCACTGTAGGTTCTACTACATGGTCGGAAAGCGAGGGGTGAGGGAGGGGCATTCGGTTGGTTGCAATCTGCAACCTCACCACTAGATGCCACTAAATCTTACACACTGCACCTTTAAATACATTTAAATAAAATAATGGTTGGCATGAGGAGACTTTTTAATGCTAGAGTATGTCAACATATTAATACAGAGCAGGATTACAAATATTTTGCAGACGGCACAAAAACCTTAAATCAACACAGAACAATCTGTAAACAACTGCAATATAGAACAATTGTTAAATTTCCTATGGGATCAATAATCTATTTATCTATCTATCTGTCTGTCTATCTATCTGTCTATCTATCTATCTGTCTGTCTATCTATCTGTCTATCTATCTATGTATCTGTCTGTCTATCTATCTGTCTGTCTATCTATCTATGTATGTCTATCTATCTATCTATCTATCTATATATCTATCTATCTATCTATATATCTATCTATCTGTCTACCTATCTATCTGTCTACCTATCTATCTGTCTATCTATCTATCTGTCTGTCTGTCTATCTATCTGTCTGTCTGTCTATCTATTTGTCTGTCTGTCTATCTATCTATCTATTTATCTGTCTGTCCATCTGTCTATCTATCTGTCTGTCTATCCATCTGTCTGTATATCTGTCTGTCTGTCTATCTGTCTATCTATCTATCTGTCTATCTATCTGTTTGTCTACCTATCTGTCTGTCTATCTATCTATCTGTCTGTCTATCTATGTATCTGTCTATCTGTCTGTCATTTCTATGAACAGCTAAGAGGAAACAGCAGTCTCTCTCACTGTGGAGGTGATTTGCATGTGAGCTGCAGATCAGGTGAACCAGAGCAAGCAAGCAGCTAAAACCATCGCATGACAGGTGGATATGAGGAGATCCTAAATTACAGTTACAGCAATAGTTCATCCAAACATCACATTAGCCCAGATCTCCTCCCTCCTTACCCCAAACGTAGTCCATCAGCCGAGACGTGTTCGGTGTCCGAAGTTTGCTTCTTTAATTTTAGCACTAGAGCTACAAGGCTAATGTCGCTAATAAGCAATGGAAGCTTAACATTAGCAAGTAGCATGACTCAAACTGTTCAGTGACCTCACACAGGCTTGATGATGTGGTTTCTGACACTGTATGACACACTATCATCTATAAACACGGACTACAGTACACTAGCACAGCTAAAAACAGCAGCAGCCATCTATAAATCTGAATTTTGTCTGTGTTTGCAGATAAAAGTGAGTCATACAGTGTCAGAAACCACAAACACATCCAATCAAGCGAGACGATGCTAACTGGTGGAGTATTAGCTTCCACCGCTTGTTAACTACATTAGCCTTGTAGCTTCAGTGGTAGAGCTAAAGCAGGAAATTTCAGACACCAAACCCGTCTTGGCTGATCAACTGCATTTGGGAAAACATTATAAATTAGATATTTGGCTAAACTATCGCTTTAACAGTGCAGGGCTGTGAACCTGAACCCGAACCTGTACGTTCAGCTGTAACTCAAAGTATGTAAGAACAGCACTCCTGTCCCCCATCTCAGATTAATGTGAGTGTATATTTATACTATATATGCTATATATATTATACATGTATATGTGCCTAAACTATATACTATAAATCACTGCTGTCAGAACAAAACACTGTATCTCCATTTTTTTTGTTTTTCAGTTTTTGACATAATTTGAAAGTAACTGTTGCCCTTTACATTCTGTGTAAATCTCATGAAGAACAGATGAAAAGAAACGGTGCAAAATCACTTGGATAAAATTCCGGTTCCATTGACTTACATTAAAAGTAGCGCATGTTTTTCCTTCTTCTGTAAAATTACTATTTTGGAGATACGAGGTTTTGTTCCAAAAGCAGTGAAATATATATATATATATATATATATATATATATATATATATACACACATATATATGCCTGAATAGACCTCATTTATAAAATGGTGTTATGCACAGATTTTATCTGTAACAATTTACAGCATATGCAAAAGTTTAGGCACCCCGATCAAATTATATGTTTTGATAAATAAGCAGGACACACTCCTGCACCTTTTAATGCACAGTTACTGTTTATTTACATATTGAAAATCAAAATTACATAAAACATAAAATGTGGCCTTTGCAAAAGTCATGGCACATTTTATATGTTTTTGTATCACATTTGTCTGGGGGTGTTCAAACTTTTGCATACAACCATTTACACCGATCAGGCATAACATTCTGACCACCTCCTTGTTTCTACGCTCATCGTCCATTTTATCAGCTCCACTTACTATATAGGTGCACTTTGTAGTTCTACAGTTACAGACTGTAGTCCATCTGTTTCTCTGATACTTTGTTAGCCCCCTTTTACCCTGTTCTTCAGTGGTCAGGACCCCCATGGACCCTCACAGAGCAGGGACTATTTGGGTGGTGGGTCATTCTCAGCACTGCAGTAACACTGACGTGGTGGTGGTGTGTTAGTGTGTGTTGTGCTGGTCTGAGTGGATCAGACACAGCAGTGCTGCTGGAGTTTTTAAACACCTCAGTGTCACTGCTGGACTGAGAATAGTCCACCAACCAAAAACATCCAGCCAACAGCGTCCTGTGGGCAGCGTCCTGTGACCACTGATGAAGGACTAGAGGATGACCAACACAAACTGTGCAGCAGCAGATGAGCTATCGTCTCTGACTTTACATCTACAAGGTGGACCGACAAGGTAGGAGTGTCTAATAGAGTGGACAGTGAGTGGACACAGTGTTTAAAAACTCCAAGTATGCATGTGCTAGACATGTTTACGTAGGGACTTTTAAAGTATATCCACATACACTAACAGGTGGAGCTACTTTGCTAAATAATGTAACTACAAACAGTAAACTGGCTGTGCAGTAAAATAAGTGTGTTAGCATGCCAAATAGTGATCCTATAAGGAGGGAACTGCATTACAGGATCTAAAGCTGTAGTCATAATATTACTGTATTATTTTAAATTCCTCATTAAACATTCAAAACAAAACATAACTCACTCATAAATCCTTTATGAAAGCTTATGTCTACAGTGGTTGCAGCTGTATACATAAGTAATCGATGCTAATGTTTATAAAGAGGTTCTGCATGAGTTATGAATGATAACATGTATAATAAACAACAGATAATAATAAAGACTTTAAGTAGGGACATGTGCAGTATTACTGAGTACACTGGTGGGTGGAGTTTGCTGCTAAAGACTATAAGCAGTGCAGTAAAATATTGCATGTTATCTTGTGCTCCAATAGGTTCAGTGCAGTATAAAGCCAGGTAGGGCTGTAGAGATTAAAGGTGAAGTTTTACCTTGTCAAATAATGCGCTGCAGGTTCTAAGGCTGACTGGTGGCCCGGAGGACAGGAGGCGGTTCTGAATGGTAATAAAGGTCGAGAACGGAGGGATATTTAACTCAACACGCACAAACACACAGCATTCAAACACCACAAATGGACTCCCAGCAAAAAACGGGGATATCAGGAGAGGCAGTGGAGTAGAGCCCGACCGATACATCGCTCAGCCGATAAATGACCGATATTTATCTGCAGCTAAAGCATCAATATTTATAAGAAGCTTGAATTACAATATATTATACTATAATGAGCCTCTTATATAACATCAAATCACTCATTTCTGTGGAGCTGACCCATCCAGGCTCCACCCACTGACATGTTCTTTCATAGCTACTATTGCTAGGTTGGACAAGCTTTACAGAACGTTGGTAAAAATGACCATAAATGTAGAACAGACTCAGTTTATATCACAATACCTACATTTAGAGTTGGTTATTCATTCAGCCTAATGAGAAACTGTAGAACAGACTCAGTTTATATCACAATACCTACATTTAGAGTCGGTTATTCATTCAGCCTAATGAGAAACTGTAGAACAGACTGAGTTTATATCACAATACCTACATTTAGAGTCAGTTATTCATTCAACCTAATGAGAAACTGTAGAACAGACTCAGTTTATATCACAATACCTACATTTAGAGTCGGTTATTCATTCAGCCTAATGAGAAACTGTAGAACAGACTCAGTTTATATCACAATACCTACATTTAGAGTCAGTTATTCATTCAACCTAATGAGAAACTGTAGAACAGACTCAGTTTATATCACAATACCTACATTTAGAGTCAGTTATTCATTCAGCCTAATGAGAAACTGTAGAACAGACTCAGTTTATATCACAATACCTACATTTAGAGTCGGTTATTCATTCAGCCTAATGAGAAACTGTAGAACAGACTCAGTTTATATCACAATACCTACATTTAGAGTCAGTTATTCATTCAGCCTAATGAGAAACTGTAGAATAGACTCAGTTTATATCACAATACCTACATTTAGAGTCAGTTATTCATTCAGCCTAATGAGAAACTGTAGAACAGACTCAGTTTATATCACAATACCTACATTTAGAGTCAGTTATTCAATTAATGAATGGAAACGTGTAGAACAAGACTTGGATTTGTACCATATTGGCAATTTTTTGTTATTTTACTGTATATACAATAAAAACTTTAACAACGTATAACTTGAACAAAAGATTACAAACCGCTTTATTTGATGTTTTAGTCAATATTTCCAGAATTCTGTGAATATGAGGTTTTTGATAAATTATATACTGTAATTATCTCTTTACATTATATTGTCAATATTTATTCTCCTCTTTTGACACATCATGAATTCTGAATATTAATTTTATTGTTACTTTCTCAGCCATTTTAGAATCTTCTACAGCTCCGTTCATCATTCTGGACACATTTGGCTTTATATTGTGGAAAACAGTGATTCTAAACATTTGAACTGACGTGGAAATAACTGCGCTAAACATAAATTAAGTGAATACCTACATTTATGTCAGGTATTATTTATTTTTTATGTGTGTGGAAGGTCATAGATCTCTTGGGTATTTTTTGTTGTGCAGCTGAACTTTAGCACTGTGGCTAATTTACCTCGTTTCCAATCTGCCTAGTGTTGATCAGCTGTAACAACACAGTCCAGCTCAGTAATGTAGCATCTAAAACTGGAGACTCAACATTACAGAGCAAATCCAGTTTGAATTCATTAGGTTTAAAGGCATTTTTACCAGCGTTCTGTAAAGCTTCTCCAGCCTCAAAACAGTAGCTATGGAAGAACACTTTTGTGGGCGGAGCCTGGATTTATTGATTACCTACCTTTATTACAGAAATACACTGTGCTGGTAACACATACATACAAAAAAATCATGATTATGTAATAAGAACATGTAAAATGATTTCAAAACTCACATTTGGTATTAGAGGCTAGCATGAAAAAATAACAAAAACAAGCTTATTAACATAAATGAATAAAACAGCTAAGAATTCTGGGAACCTCCACCCCAGTGGTAAAAATATTTTTAGTATTTAAAGGTGCAGTGCGTAAGAGTTACTGGCATCTAGTGGTGAGGTTGCAGATTGTAACCAGCTGAATCCCCCTCCCTCACCCCTCCCTTTCCAAGCATGTAGTAGAGCCTACAGTGGCCGTCAGGTTTTCTGCCGTCGTCTGTCCCGATTTTGTTTTGCTTCTTCATGTTTTCTCTTTTTTGACGGCGAAGATTCACCCTCCCCCTTTTTCCTGTGCTAAATATTAAGTTTGGTCCTTCATTTGACAAAATTTGGGTTCTTGAACTTCGCACTCTGATTCTTCTTCTTTCTACGTCTTCCAACTGGAGCTACAGCGCCACCAAATTCAAGCTGCTGCTTCAGCGTAAAAGCGCGAATGGCGCCCTCTAGAGCCAGAGTTTGGTTTGTCCACTCTGGGCTACTGTAGAAACATGGCAGCATAACATGGCGACAACACAACGATACATAGTCAGAGGAGATTTTAAACGAATGAAAACATGGTTTTGTTTACTATATTCCATTTCTGGTAAGAGATCCCACTAAATCTCACACACTGCACCTTTAAGACTCCATTACAGTCTGTCTAATCTTTGACCATATAAAATGATATCGGCCGATATCAGTTCTCCGAATATTGAACCCCTAAAATCGGTATCGGCACTGATGACAAAATGCTCATATCGGTCAGGCCCTAGAAGAGAGGAAGGGGTAGAGCGAGACAGAGAGAGGGGAAGGGAGGTGGGGGGTCTATATCTACGAGGAGGGTGAGAGAGTGTAAATCGTGACTGAAAGAGGAGCAGCAGAGCGCAGTCCCAAAGACGCAAATGCATTTTCTACCTCTTTGGTTGCTCAGTCTTTTGAGAGGAACTGGTAAGTGGAAGCTGTTACAGTAAGCTGAATAGGTGTCACAGTCATACATGAAGATTAGAGGTGTTTCATTTGCCTTTCAAATTGACCAGGCCGAGTTTGAGCCAGACGTGGATTTGAAAGCCAAGCAGTATTTGGTCTCGTCACATTTATCACTGAGATGGCAAAGCGGTACCACAGTAGGAAAGGGGACGACGTTACGCTGCCATTACTGTCACTTTTAAAGACAATTTACCAAGATATAACAACAGACTACAAAAATATACAGCATTATCTGGATGTCTACCTTGGTATGCAACAGGCTTTTCACTACAACTCCCAAAATGCAATGCAGAAAACTGTCCACTTAAACTACAAAACTGGAAACTGTAGTTTGAGACCATAATTTTCATTCCCCTGGTATAAAAATGGAAAGCAAAAAAGTTCTGACATTACTTCGAATATATTTAACACTGGTAATTTTTGCAAATTTTGCATTCTAACAATGAAATGCATGCAGAAGTTGCTAGCACATAAGCTAACACAGCTACTTCTAAACGTGTAAGGTACAGTTAACGGCAGGCGCTTAAAGCAAAGCAGCCATTACTGTTGCTCAGCAACCAGTTTCAGTGGAGTGATACATGTATGGTGAAAAACACATGATGTCAGATTCAGAGTCATCAGATTTATTCTACACAATTGTCTACAGTTCTATATAACTCATTTTCAGATGACAATACTCCTGAGTAAAAGCAGAAACACTCTACTAGTATTCTCTCTGTACTTCTTCTTGAGTAAAAGTATAAATGTTTGTGAATGTGTTCATAATTGTACTTAAGTGTGAAAAAAAGGAAAAAAAAAACTTCTATATTATTTTCATGAACAGTTTTTATCAGGAATACTTGAATCACTGCAGAGGCCTGTCTGCAGTCACAAAGGTCTCCTTGATAGACACTGTTGTTCACGCTAAGTGCTTTTACTTAATAATACTTAAGTACACTTCAAAGCAAGTATTTATGTAATTTTACTCAAGCAGCAATATAAATACAACACTTGTTGCACTCCATAATGCTCTATAATGTTCATATGATCCACACAGTCATTCTGACAGACTGTAATACACTACAGGAAGTGTAGGGGGCGATATGGCTTCTACTGTTTCATTTAAAAAGCCTCTATAATGTTCATATGATCCACACGGTTACTCTGACAGACTGTAATACACTACAGGAACTGAGGTTTAAGACATTCTTTTAGCAGAGAATAGCAGCACTCAGGAAACATGGGCTCATTAACTTTATTAATGCTAACTTATTAATTTTAATATTGCTAACTATGCTATCATTTGATATTGTGATATATTGGAAAATTTTTATTATACTTAAAAAATTCATCAATTATAAAAATAATTATTAGTTGTAGCTCTAGTACTGATCCTAACGCTCACCTTCATCAAGTAATCTGAGAACAGTACATGATTCTGGATCAGTTTATATGTGCAGTTTCTACCCACACGTCATTCCACAGTGACTCACTGATGAGCAATGAGCAGTAATTGCACTCTAATACAGTCTTAACTACGGTGGACTCAGTGATGGTGAGTTAATTACTGAGTTCATAGTTCAAAAACCCCACTGGGCTTCCTAAGCCTGAGTCTGAATGATACTGTAATGACTCGTCAATTACTGAGTTTAACATTCACACAAAAAAGGGCTTCCTGGACCAGAGTGTCATTTCGGGGACAATATCTCACCACTGTAACCATTCCTGCACGTGAACAGTGAGTAATTTCTCATTTAACAATCTACAGTGATTACGAAGACTCGCTAAACCGCAATCAACAGCAATCAGAGCCAGCAGGCGTATTCTCTAAAGGCCAAAACACACCAAATTACACACAGCATTCTCCTCCAAATACCACCAATCTATAACACCACCATCCTCTACCAAACACCATCATTCTACAACAAACACAGACATCTTTACCAAACACCATCATCATCTACCAAACACCATCATTCTACAATAAATACCAGCATCCTCTTCCAAACACCACATTCTTTAATAAACACATCATTCTACACCAAATACCACCATCCTCTACCAAATACCACCATCCTCTACCAAACACCACCATCCTCTACCAAACACCATCGTTCTACAACAAACACAGACAATTTTACCAAACACCACCATCCTCTACCAAACACCATCATTCTACAATAAATACCAGCATCCTCTTCCAAACACCACATTCTTTAACAAACACATCATTCTACACCAAATACCGCCATCCTCTACCAAACACCACCATCCTCTACCAAACACCATCATTCTACAACAAACACAGACAATTTTACCAAACACCACCATCCTCTACCAAACACCATCATTCTACAACAAACACAGACAATTTTACCAAACACCACCATCCTCTACCAAACACCATCATTCTACAACAAATACCAGCATCCTCTTCCAAACACCACATTCTTTAACAAACACATCGTTCTACACCAAATACCACCATCCTCTACCAAACACCACCATCCTTTACCAAACACCATAATTCTACAACAAATACCAACATATTCTACCAAACACCATCATCCTCTACCAAACACCGTCATTTTACAACAAATACCAGCATCCTCTTCCAAACACCATCATTCTCTTCCAAACATCACATTCTTTAACATCATATTCTCCACCAAATACCACCATCCTCTACCAAACACCACCATCCTCTACCAAACACCATAATTCTACAACAAATACAAACATATTCTACAAAACACTACCATCCTCTTCCAAACACCACATTCTTTAACAAACACATGATTCTACACCAAACATCAATGTTCTTCACTGAACGCCATCATTCTCCACCAAACGCCATCATTCTCCACCAAACGCCATCATTCTCCACCAAACATCAATGTTCTCCACCAAACACCATCATTGTCCACTAAACACCATCACTCTCTGCAAAACACCTTCATTCTCCAACGAAATATCAACGTATTCTACCAAACACCATCATCATGGTGGAGATTCTGCTGATCAGGCATTTTCCTGCCCCTCTACAGTCCCCTATGCTCTGAACGCTGGTAAACAGCATAGAAATGTGGGTCTGAGACAGAGTTACATCATTACAAGCCTCAGGCCACAAGACAGAGACAGAGAGAGAGAGAGAGAGAGAGAGAGAGAGAGAGAGAGAGATTCTGCCCCTGATAGTGCTTTCAGAGAAACAAGCAGGCTATCAGAGGTGAACACAGGGAACAGCTCAAAAACAGCCACAAAAACTGAGCCAACCAGATCGAATCATACTATCAGTCCAATTTCAGATAAATGTAGAATAATCAACTACACTTTACAGTAACAGTATCACAAGGATGGATGGTGCACTGTACACAAATATTCAAGTAAATATCTGTTAAATTCAAAGGGGGAATTCCAATGATATTTCCAAAATTTTTAGAGTTCAGAGTGGTTTGGTGTGAAACGCTCCGTTCTAGAGAAACTTACCGAGTCAGAACTGTTCACAGTGGTGGTGATAGGAACCAGACGTCCACCTCTAAAAGCTCCCTCACAGAAAGTTACTACATGAAATGGTTATGAATTCACTGCCTGATGACTGAGACACTGTTTTATGATAGTTTTGAGAAGGTTTTGGCCTTCAACTCCGTTCATGGTGGAGGGATACATAATATGCAGGGCGCTGTGAGACAAAATAGTCCCCAAAGAAAACTTATTATTTCAGATTTTCCACTGTTTTCCATCATCAACATTCCATATAATCTCCGAAGACTCATGTAGGTTCACTGGTGGTTCTGGATAGTAAATAAAATGTCTATGTTTGTGTTGTAGTCATGGCGACCCCTGGTTCCTATCACCACCACTGTAAAGACATCTGAACCAGTTCACACCAAACCACTCTGAGTCACTCTGTTTACACCTCACACACTGAACTATGGAGAAATATGGTGGAAAAAACCTATGGAATTCCCCTCTTACTCTGGGGTAAGTCTCATCTCAAAGTTATTCAGCCTAATGAGAAACTGTAGAACAGACTCAGTTTATATCACAATACCTACATTTAGAGTCGGTTATTCATTCAGCCTAATGAGAAACTGTAGAACAGACTCGGTTTATATCACAATATCTACATTTAGAGTCAGTTATTCATTCAGCCTGATGAGAAACTGTAGAACAGACTCAGTTTATATCACAATACCTACATTTAGAGCCGGTTACTCATTCATTTTTTTAACATGGACAGATCAATTTTAACATAAAGCACTATTCAATAAAGCTGAATGTTTAATAAAATCTTTTTGTATCATGTTCAGTAAGCAAATAAAACAAATCTACATAAGTGTTAGTGTTTGTGAACGACAGTGCTGGCAGTCATGATCAGGAAAGTGGAGTTTAGAGGGTAGCATCACCGCAGGTGAGCAACTCATGAATCGCCTGATTCATAACTCATGAATCATTTGACTCATAACTCATGAATCATTTGACTCATGAACCATGAATCGTATGATTCATGGAGCTGAATCAGCAGGCTAAAGCTCAAACTGGGGTTAAAGGTCTTTAAAGCAGGACTTAGCTTACCAAAGTGTTAGCCGCTATGTATCCATGAGCCGATTTATCTGAAACACAGAAAGATCAGGTTCAGTACTGAATCAATGCAAGTTCTAAAGCAAATTTTAAAAAAGCATCACGATATATCTGAAGGTGGTGATCTGACCAAATTGATTCTGGAACGTTTGAATCAATTATAATAAGGGCTGAAACGAAAAAAGTTGACGAGTTTTGTATTGTTAGTGAGTCGTGTACTTAAAACAGAGAGTCAAGCTGAAAACAATTCAATTACTTATATATTTTTCATGTAATAATAATAAATAATATGAAAAGTATGAACAGTAATACAAACAGAAACAATGTAATGTCTGGGAAGACAAATTTTTCAAATTCAGGTTGAATGTGCTGTTATGTACATTTATTACTCACTGAAACGGAAAGAAAATCATTAGTCGATTAATTGAAAAAATAATTGATGTACTAACTGATTATAGAAGTAATTGCTATAGGGATAAAACAGTTACCATTTTCACAGTAAACTACAGTATAATCCCAGATGGTTATTATTACCATTTCAAATTTTAATTATTAATACCGTGGCTGTTTACCGTGTTTTGAAAAACTCACATTAAATACTGTCAAGCATCAACCAAAGTTAGCACCAGTCTCCCAGACGCAGGCGTGCAGGTGCAGCACATAATGCTGGTTTGTTTTGTACTCAGGAGATTCTTCTGCCTTCTAAAAGGACTGAGTCTGAAGTGTGGTCATATTTTGGTTTTTGTTAGAGTGCAGAGGGAAACCTGATTGAAGATCTGCGAAAGGGGGCAACACTTCAAATCTTATCGGTCTTCTTTTTGACCACCACCCACTACACTCGTAAAAAGAGGTTCTTCTAGGGTTCTTTAGTAAAGACAATGGTCCTATTTAGAACCATAAGTCCTATATAGAGCCATTTCATGATTAAATGGTTCTTTGCATGGTGAATTAGATCTTCAGATTGCTGGAAAATGTGTTGTATATGGTTCTACATAGCACCAAAAAGGGTTCTGTTATTGTTACGATGTCAAGCTTGGATAAAATAGAACACTTTTAGGTGCTATATAGAACCAACACACTCTCCATCAATCTGAAGCACATTCCACCATGCAAAGAACCTTTCAAGCATGAAATTATTCATTACTCATGTTTCTAAATAGAACCACTGTCTTTACTAAAGAACCCTTGAAGAACCATCTTTTATTTTAAGAGTGTATTTTATAGCGAATGTGTGCTTCTTTGTTGAAATATCCAACCATAGCGCATTTTATAGGTAGCTCTGTGTATAAAACTGCAGGTAGAATTCTTTTGAAAACACTACCAGCATTAAAACTACGAAGCTGAAGTCGGCATCTTTTTCGAATTTGCAGGCCTCACTTTTATCAATGTAAAAGTCTAAAATAAACCTGAAAAAGCCCTGTCGTTATTACTGTCTGTTTTCCTCTACGGTGAAAATAGTTCCACCAGTTCCACTTGTGTATTCATTCTAATACTAATACTGAATCCAACAGTGTGAAACGTGTCTCACCTCCAGAAGTGAAGCTCATGTATTTCTGGTTGTTCACTGTCTCTTTAGAGTCATAGAACTTCAGTACGTCTATAACTGCCTGAGGGTTCTTCTTCTGTTCCAGCTTAGTGATGTTAGAGGTCTGCAATAATCGAGCCCACTGCTCAGGAATGCCCTGCATGAGAGAGAGGGAGAGAGAGAGAAGGAAACAGAGAGAGAGAGACAGAGAGAGAGAGAGAGACAGAGAGAGAGAGAGAGAGAGGGAGTGTGAGAGATAGGAGAGGTTTTACTTATTGAAATTTAAGTATATCTTAGTGTGTTTTCTACCAAGTGTGTTCCACAAATTAGTTATTAAAAGATAAATAATATAATGTATACAATAAGTAACATAATTTCTTGATAAGCTATATGCATGAGATTTGATCACCACTTTTCAAATATGAGGCATTCTAAATATTTTATTAAAATTTCACTGTAGATATAAATTTTATTTGAATATCATTCTGGGTATTAATTGTATTAAAACATTTTTTTGGATATAAATTTGATTAGAATTTCTTTCTGGATGTCGTACAGCTTTCTCCGTTAGTTTAGCATCATCCACAGCTCTGTTCATAATTCTGCACTCATCTAACATTTTTATATTTTTCACAGCTTTGTACAATCAGTTAAAACCCAGGTAAGTGCTGTTGAGAAGTAGCCTCATAACTAAAACCTCTCAGCCTTTTCCACCCTACATTTCTCAAAAGACACTAATCATGTTTTTTTAAACCTTTTTAAATACAGTTTCATTTTTCATTAACATACAATGAGTCAATCCATTTCAATCAAAGCAATCAAAATGTAAATTCAATCAATTTTTAAGAACTGTGCTAAAACAATAAATATACAAACACTGGATTTACAGAAATAAACTTTATAATTATAAAGATAATATATCAATGATGCCTTTAAATAGACATTTTGATGCATCTAACATCAAAAGCCTAAAGGTTACGTCCACCTGTATTTCTCACAAACTGATAAAGATTAGCACACTTTCAGACCTCATAATGATTATTTCCAGAAAATATTAAGCAAAACTGATGTTCTTTAAAAAATTCATAACTAAATTTTTATTTTTATGAATGTAACTCAACAAACCGGATTTATTTGGATGACAGCAGCGATTCCAAACTTTTGACCAGCAGAATATCATTTAATAAAATAAAGAATGCACTGCATTTTACTATAAGTGGCAACAACAGAGGCACGAAAAGTAGTTAATATACAAATAAGACATAAACAAACAGTGGCTCACACACAAACACACACACACACACACACACACACACACACACACTCGTCCTGCTCTGTCGGTGTGTGTGATGGGCTGAACTCACAGTGAACTCTCCTGTAACTGCGTCGAATCCTACATGGATGGTGTGTTCAAAATCCGAGGGAAGAGAAATCTCTGGACGCTCTTTCTCTTTCTTCTTATTCGCTACACAAACACAAACATAACATGCACTGAAACCAACACAACTGATCTCAAATTCTAATTCATTACAACATTGTTCTAATTCACCTACAGCCTGGCTGGACACAACATGGACACAATTTCCAATAAAAATTCAAGCAAAAACAACAAAGTAAAGCCTGTAATCGTGCAAAATTTCAAAGCTGTACTGCAAATAGATTTTTAGTTATGAATTTTTAAAGTTTGCTCCATTATGTTCTAAATTGTATTTTGTATATTGAGTTTAGCTGCTTACAGAATGACAGAACTGAGCTGAAGTATTAAATTAATATTAAATTAAAATCTAGAATTTTAACATCAAATAAATACAGCACTAAGAATAATATTCACTCTAAATATACCAGTTTAATGTTAATAAATTTCACAAGCACTCATTTATTGGAGGGTGTACTTTTTCAAGTATCGTTCAATACATTAATCACATCTTAATATTGAGTTGTTTATCTCAAAAACTAATGTAGATAAAAGCCTAAACTTTTAAACACTATGTTCTGGACACAGTGGCATCATTTCCTGAAAATATTAAGCAAATCTGAGATGGTTAGTCAGTTGGTTGTTTAGTGATTTCACATCAAGTGACCTACATATATAAATATCTATTATAATATAAAACATTTTAACACACAATCACATTATTATTCACCAACACACTTGTTCAAGCATTAAATCTTTCATTTTTTAAATGTAATCTTTCAGTCAGTTTTCAGTTATCATGTCTTAAATATTGAGTTCAACTGCTCAATACATTTATCTAACATATATGAATTGTTTATTTCGGTTGTAAGTTGTAAATAGCTTCTTTAAACTAAAAACTAATAACTGTCAGCCTTTTGAGTCTATATTTTCCCAAAAGGCTCTAAACCTTTTTCTTTCAAACTTTTTTAATACAAACCGTTGTTCAATATTTATTACCATACAATGAGTAAATCAATTTATATCAAAACAATCAAAATTTTAAGCATCTCTTGTGCTAAAACAATAAATATAAAAACACTGGACTTCCAGAATTAAATTTTAGAATTATTTAAGTATTTGTTTTAAGAGATAATATATCAATGATGCCTGTATAACAGACATGTTCATGCATCGAACATCAACAGCCCAAAAGTTATGACTCAAAATCTGCATCTTTTTCTGTAGGCCTCGTCCACTTTCTAAGACCTCTATTTCTCACAAACTAATGAAGATCTGCACACTTTCTGCTAGACCTCATAATGACATCATTTCCAGAAAACAGTAGGCAAATCTGATATGGTCTAAAAAAAATTAAAATTTGAAGTACAGTTTTCAAATTTTGCATGGTTGCAGGAATTTAGGTGAAGTTGCTGCTTGAACTTTTCATGGAACTCCATGATGTGACCTGCCAGGTCCTCGGCATGGAATGACCCTGTGAAGTGTGTGTGCGTCTCACTCTTATCCCCTCCAGGGAAGATGGATCGTAGCCTGGCTGATTTCTTGTTTTTTTCCTCCGGAGCCATTGGAAGCGGTTTAGAACTGTGCAGGGAAGAGTCGCGGGAGCTGCTGCTCATTCTCAGCGGCGGAGCGGGCGGCTTCTCCTCAATATCAACACTATCAGACATGATTAACACTCACTACGGCCTGGGATAGAGAGAGAGAGAGAGAGAGAGAGAGAGAGAGAGAGAGAGAGAGAGATTTGAGAATTAAAACATCTTTACTGAAGCCACACTACTAAAACAACACTGCCACAACTTCAGCATGTATGCATTATGCGATTATTTGCATTTTTTAACAGCTCATAAATCAATAACCTTTGTTGGTACAAGATTAATATCTACTAACTAGAAGTCTGTGGTAAGATGAGCAATAAATATCAAAAATTTAAACATATGATGTACTTTAGTGTGGAGATATAGAGGGCCAAAATTGCTTAAATGCAAAAAAAAAAAAAATAATAAAAAATAATTAATCCAGATTTTCAGCAAGCTATGAAATAACAAACTCACATATTTGCATTTCTTCTGTTTCAGTAGTAAAATCCAAAATAAACCAAAGAATAATCCCTGAAAATTTCACAATTCCAACCTCAACAGTTAAAAAGTTATGACTTAAGATATTTTGCACTCATTTCTATATCAGCTCATTTTAAGGCTGTGCTCACGTTTTAAAGCCTCTATATCTCAGAAACTAATAAAGAATACATTTTTAAACATCATGTGTTGGGCACAGTGACACGATTTCCTGAAAATATTAAGCAAATCTGAGATGGTTAGTGAGAAAGTGTTTAGTGATATAATATCAAGTGATCTCCGTAAATAAAACACAATCACGTTTCTTATTCACTGACACACTCGTTTAAGCGCATGACTGAGGAATATAGGTGAACTTCCTATTTGTGTATGTGATGTTCACACATTGTGGAGCTCACAGCGAGTGTGAATCATGCTGCGGAAATCAATTGTAATTAACCTGTGACCTGCTGATGTAATGAATGTGTGTCGCAGTGGAAGCCTTGATAATTTTCCATTACAGTCAGCAGTGTGAGTGTAAAGTTGTGACAAAAATCTAAAATACTACTATATACAAACCATAAAATCATGATAATTAAAGGCATGTTAACAATACGCAATGTATACAGTCGTATGCGAAGGTATGAACTAACAAATTACACGTCTTGTTGATTTCTGAGTTTGAAATATTGAAAAAAAATATATAAAATGTGCCATATTGTTTGCACAGGCCACATTTTATGTTTTATTCTTTTCTCAATATGTTAAATTCAGCAAATAAACAATAATCATGCGTTCAAATTTGCAGAAGGAGGATGTGTTCACTTATTCACACTTAGAAAATCAAAAACAACATGGAATTTGACCAGGGCGCACAAACTTTTGCACAGACTTTGAAGTCTCATCATTATAAAAAAAAAAATAAAAAGGAGGAAAGTGTCTTGCTTTGTTAACATGGAAACCAGATACACCTTGAGGCTCAGGTAGCTCATATGGTCACATGACCTTCTCTCTCTCTCTCTCTCTCTCTCTCTCTCTGGTAGAGTCCTACAGTTTTTCTATGTTAGTAGCTGGACGAGTGCAGAAACAAAGGAAGTCTGAATGAAAAAGTGAGAAAGTGAAAGTGTTCCGACTCTGTTCGGGATTTTCCTGCAGCCTCACTGCCTGTTTCAGCTCCGCACGTCAACCAGAACAGGTTTTAAACCGGATACAATAAATACATAATTAGATATCAAAGACTGACTTAATGAAACTGCCATCACTGCTCAGCCTGTAAACGGAGTAATTTACTCAAACAGCTATACAGTCACTACACAGTGTGAACTGACTGTGAGCTTCCACTGCTTACATTCAATTATTTATTTACGTAAATAACACATTGATGCATTTGTTCATCGTTAACACCGACAATATCACAATAAAAATAACTTGCATGTCTTTTTCTAAAATCATAAGCAATTACTATTATTATTATAAAAATAAAATGTATAAATAATTATAAAAATAATAAATGTTTATTACTAAGTAAGTAGAAGTATTATCTGTGTCAAAGTTCACGTGTTCATAACGATTTAAGAAAATTACAATTAACTAAACAAACTAATTTGGTTAATCATGATTGATTATTTTAATCATTTGACAACCTTAGTATTATTATTACTAGCAGTATTTTTATGTCTATATAATAATATCACACACACACACACAGATTTTCTAAGCCGCTTATCCTTCTGGGTCGCCGGAGGGGAGCTGGAGCCTATCACAGCGGTCACTGGACAGAAAGCAGGAATATAAAAAAATATTAGCAAGTAATTTTTTACTAAACAAATAATTACATTAACAGTGGTACTATGTTTATTTTCATACTTGTTAATAATAATAATAATAATAATAATAAATATTTAGTACTAAATATGTAATACTAGTATTATTATCACCATATTTTTATGGCACCTTATTTATTTAATTATTTATTTATTTATTTAGTCCAATATTCCTCTAAAATGTCATTTATTTTCCTGTTACTATATTTGTAGCACTGCAGAGCTCACAGTGCAGTGGCCTGATTTTTGACCAGCAGAAGATAAATCATCAACTCTGTGTGTGTGTGTATGTGTGTGTGTGTGTGTGTGTGTGTGTATATATGTGTGTGCGTGTGTGTGTGTATATGTGTGTGTGCGTGTGTGTGTGTGTGTGTGCGTGTGTGTGTATGTGTGTGTGTGTGTGTGTGTGTGTGTGTGTGTATGTGTGTGTGTGCGTGTGTGTGTGTATATGTGTGTGTGTGTGTGTGTGTGTGTGTGTGTGCGTGTGTGTGTATATGTGTGTGTGTGTGTGTGTGTGTGTGTGTGTATGTGTGTGCGTGTGTGTGTGTATGTGTGTGTATATGTGTGTGCGTGTGTGTGTGTATATGTGTGTGTGCGTGTGTGTGTATATGTGTGTGTGTGTGTGTGCGTGTGTGTGTGTGTACTGGGGGGTATTCAGGTGTTTTCCAGCTCCACCTGCTCTGGGTGTGTCTCTAACTGTCACTTTTCAAGCCCGACCAGAAATACACCCACACTCTCTCACAGCTGCACTAGTGTGTATTCCAGCCGTTTCAATGAGTGTTTCAATGAGCTTCTGTATGAAACACCTTTTCATTTTAACAGCTTATAAATCAGAAACTCTCATCACTTTAGTGCTAATATCAGTTTGCCAGGACTGAACTGTAACAGGAGTAACAAATACCCAATACCAGATGAGTGAGGTATCAGGCCAATACCCAATACCAGATGAGTGAGGTATCAGGCCAATACCCAATACCAGATGAGTGAGGTATCAGGCCAATACCCAATACCAGATGAGTGAGGTATCAGGCCAATACCCAATACCAGACGAGCGAGGTATCAGGCCAATACCCAATACCAGATAAGTGAGGTATCAGGTCAATACCCAATACCAGATAAGCGAGGTATCAGGCCGTTACCCAATACCAGACGAGCAAGGTATCAGGCCGATACCCAATAGCAGATAAGTGAGGTATTGGGCCGATACCCAATACCAGATAAGTGAGGTATCAGGCCAATACCCCACAAACACTGAACCATCATGTGTTCATCAGACTGGGGGGATTCAGACCCCACAAACACACAAATACACACATATGTAGTGAGAACATGCGAGAAGATTCATTTTTCCATAATATGGGATCTTTATGATTCATACCTCCAGTATAAGCCTGCAGTTTAATAAGGGGTTAATAAAACCTCACAAAGTCAGTCATCACCAATGTGTCCCTCATGGATACCGTAACCACGGCAACAGCAGCCCTCCTCTCATCCACAGGTCAGCATAGTGTCAGCGCTGAAGCTAACGCTAACGCTAACGTACACCGGAACAATCAACATCTCCCACGAATCGCTTCAAGCTAAAATCCATTACGCACTTCAGCCAATCACAAGCAGCGCTGCAGCCAGAGCAGCCAATCAGGAGCAGCCTCTCTCTCAGCAGGAGGCTTCCCATAGACAGAGAGAGAGGGGGGGGGGAAATATACATAAAAAGAGAGATAAAAATAGAGGCGGAGAGATGGAGACAGAGGTATAAATAGAGAGAGAGAGACAGAGAGAGAGAGAGAGGGAAGGGGAGAAAGGAAAAAAGAATAAAGAAAGGAATTGAGGAAGAGAAAGAAAAGTGGGATAAAAATAGAGGGCCGGTGATAGAGACAGGCAGAAAAAGAGAGACAGAAATAGAGGGAGAGAAAGGGGAGAAAGAGGGAGAGAGATAGCGACAGAGGTAGAAACAGAGAGAGGGGGTGACAGAGAGGGAGCGGAGGAGGGGAAAGAGAGAGAGAGATTTAAAAGAAGGGAAAGGAAAATTAAAACAGAAATAGAAAGAGAGAGGGGGAGAGAGGGAAAACAGAGAGAGAGAGAGAGGAGAGGGAGAAAGGGGGAGAGAAAAGAGATGTAAACAGAGCGAGAGAGCTAGAGACAGAGGTAGAGAGGGAGGAAGATACTGTGATATGCGGGTACTGATATTGTGATTGAGCGTTGCCGCGGTTACGTAAGTGGGGAATTAGGGTCAGGTGAGTTTGTGGCCGTCAGGTGACAAAATCTGCCTGAATTCACATCAACAAACATCACGTCAGCAGCTGCAACAGAGCGTGTGGTGTCAGGCGACAACAGGCCGAGTTAACTCTACAACACAAACCCGCCTGACTGTGTTTAAGGTCACGATGACATCATCGCGCCTCACGTGTCACAGAGCGCAACGTGGGCGACCTTACGTGGTGTCCCAGGGGGAACGCTGAGTTCCACTAGAACAGGGATGCCCTTTTTACGGCCTGGGAGGATGTTTGTTTTTGCCTGCCGGAACCTCTAAGGCTGAAAGATTCAAAATTTCAAAATAAATTGAATTGAATTTAAATTTTCAAATTGCCAGAGCTGCATTTTTTTTTAGCGCCTACATGATCGACATGCCAACAAGTTTTAAGGCGGGGGACATGCAACCTAATAACGCTTTAGACGAGCCTGTAGATGAGTTAGACCAATCAGAAGCAACCAAACACTCGTGTGCTGTGACATCACAACCATGACTAACTGGCAGTCGGGCACTACACTTAACATTCAAGTCTCAAGCCTCAAATAGTGGACATGCTGA